GATAAATGATAAATCAACAATCAATATTGATTTGATTGTTTAAAGATGAAAATATTGGAACTTCAAGAAAATCGTTCTTTGTTGATCAAAAGATGCATCTCCTTCTTTAGGTGCAAGATAAGAATGAGTAGAGAGGACGTTTGATAAACCTTGTTATTTTTTAAATTGATATGTGATCTTAAAATCAAATCTTGATAAAGACATGCTTCAATGGGCTGGGCGATGATTCAACATACATACTCATATGAAGTATTTAAGATTCTAGTGATCTATATATACAGTGATTAGATTAGAAGTCTCTTCTTAATAATGATGCCATTCATGAAAAGAATCCATAATTGCTATAAGCTCTTTATCATGGATCTCATAATTAAACTTGACTGTTGAAAATTTTCTAGAATAAAAAGTTACTAAGTAAACTTTATTATTTGTTTTCATTTATGATACATAGCACCCAAAGCAAAGTTTAATGTATCTTTTTCTATAAAGAATGCCTTAAAAAAGTCAATGCAATACAAGATTGGTGCAAAAACAAAGATTGTCTTTAAAGCTTCAAATGTTGCTTCTACTTCTTAATTCCATTAAAATTTGTCTTTACAAGTCAAATGTGTAAGTGGAGCTGCAACTTGATAGAAGTCCTTGATGAAGATCCAATAGTAGTTAGCAAATTCCAAAAAACATTTAACATCTTGTATAGTTTTTGGGATCTTTCAATCTATAATAGTTTGATCTTTCTTAGGATCTATCATAAGTCCATTATTTGAAATCATATAATCTAAGAAGTTAACTTGAATAGTATAGAATATATACTTTTTTATCTTTTGTATTCTTAAAATAGATCAATATATTGTCTAGATAACTAATAACAAAATTATCCAAAAACTCTTGAAAAATATCATTCATAAGATGTTGAAAAAGTGCTTATGCATTTGTAAGTCCAAAAGGCATGATATTATATTCAAAATGTCCATACTTAATTCAAAATGTAATCTTCCATTCATCTCTTTCTTTGATATATACTAAATTGTATGCTCCTCATACATCTATTTTTCTATAGAACTTAACTTGATTTAACTGATCGAAAAATCCAAATATTAAAGGTAATAGATACATATTCTTCATAGTGACCTTATTGAGTCCTTGATAATCAAGACACATTTGTTATAATCCATCCTTTTCTTTACAAATAAAATAGGCACTCTTGCTAAAGATTTGGAATAGGATATGAAGTTCTTGGCTAGATTTTCTTCAATATACTCTTTGAATTTAGCCAACTTGTTTTGTGATAAATTATAGATTAATCCAAATGGCGATTGTGTCCCTTCTTGAAGGTCAATTGAGTAGTCATAGGGATGATGTTTTGGAAGAATATCTACATTTTTTTTTTCAAATACATCTTGAAATTCTTGAAATTGGCTTGGAATGCCACTTGAAGTCTTTCTACCATTAGAAATAGGTGTGGCATAAATGAAACAAGGTGATCCTTCTTTTACAACATGTAAGAAAGCTTTTGCACCTATAAATATAGTTTTAATTATACTAAACTTGTAGTTTTTTACTTAATTAATTATACTCTTAATTATACTTTTATAAAAGTCAAGAATTCAAGAAATCCAATCTACTCAAGGATTGTATTTTTTTAACCATAGTAAGCCTAAAATGATTGGATTAGAAAGAAATCTAATAATATTAAATACTACAAAGCTATTATGACCATTGATTACTACTTCTATAGGAAGGATTTTGTAAGTAACATCTCCAAAAGACAACAAATGACCATCTATGATTTCTATATGAATAAATTTAGTTTTTCTCACTAAAGATATGTTAAGTCTTTTAGCAAATTCATCATCTAAGAAACACGTTGAGACTCTTAAATCTAAGAAGGCAGAGGCTTTGTAATGTTTAAGTCCTAAAATAATATTTAATGTAAAACAAAGAGAGGGTTTTGAGGAAAAAATAAGACCTTCATTAGGTATTGTATAAGGTTTTAGCCACATGGTTCCTATTATAGCTAGACAAACTTGTTTTTTGATATATTGTCTTCCTTAACATCTATACTCCTCATTTTATAATTACATCACTTCTTTGGATAATGTTGAGCAGTATGCTTAGATTCTCCATAATATAAGCACAATCCTCCTTGATGGCGATGAGTCTTTTCTAGTTCAGTAAGAGATTTGAAACGTATTGCATCTATTTGCATATCTTCTACTTCTGAGTGTATGTATTGAGGAGGCATTGGTATTGCCATTAAATTATAGTAACGTTGAGGCCCACTTGTCTCACACTCACATCAAAATTTGAAAATTCAACTATCAAACTTCACAACAAAGTTAATTATTTGACTCCATGTTTGAGGATCAAGTAAGTTGAGCATCAATTTCTTTACCACATATTGTAATCCATAGAGAAATTGGCTAATAAATACATCATTTTACTTGATATCAATTATAAGTTGTCAAAATTATAAAGCATATAATGTTATGGATCAATTGCCTTGTCGTAAAATACGGATCTAATTGGTTGTAACAAGAATTGCATCATATTTTCTATATATAGATTAAAATTATACCAAAAAAACTTCTAAATTATCTAATATTGGATCTTGTTGTTGAAGGAAAGATAAAAACCATGATAATGCTGAACTTCTAAGAAGTGATCAATGAATCTAACCTCTGATCTTAGAATTGGATAGCTTTGAGATTGAAGTTCAATCAGAAGTTGTACTTAACTGATAAATCTTCAAAATTTGGATCTTGAGCCATTAAACTTCTGAAGTAAGATAACTCTTGATCCTCTAGTACCAAAAGGATGTTCCACCATAGGAGAAGACGCATAATTTGGTACAAATGTTGAAGCAGCTCCAATTATATCTATATCTTCACTTCCTACCATTCTTATTATTCCTTGTGGTAGTAAATTGAGTTGATATATTGCAAGCATCAACTCTTGTAATTGCTCTTGTATTTGTACCATTGCATTCTTCATTTCAACAAGTTTTGCCACTATAATACTTACAAAAAAAAAATATCTAATATCGCTCAAGACAAGCAAAAAAAAAGGACTTGAAAACAAAAAAAGATACTAAGAACAATATTAGTTTAGAAGAAGGTATTCCACAACTTCTAATATGCTTATGTCTTATTAACAGAAAGAGATAATCCACTCTTAATTAACAAAAGACAAAGCTCTAATATTGTAAGTGTACTCTTATCAATTTGTTAAGGACATGAATTGGAAGAAGATACATAAATTTAGGAAATTTGTATCAAAAGAAAAGTGACATAATAGCAATAAAGTAGTATGTATATTAAAAAAAAACTAGAATAGCTATTGCCAAAAGATAAGGAAATTAGAGACTCTTAAATTTAGACTAGAAGTAAGAAAGGACTTGAGAAAAGTGAAGAAGATTTCACTCTTTCCTCTATATATACTATCTAACTATGACCTATGTGGCAATGTTGTATAGGACCTCTAATATGTATTGACTTTACAAAACACATGCCTTAGCTTACAAGGCAAGTTTTCTATGTGTGGACCACATAGTTAGTTTGTTCTTCAAGCTACCAACATGTGTAGCACATGTCCAACTTGTTGACCATATTTTTAATCTAAAAAGTCATTTATAGACACCTATAAAGTCAAAACAACGTCTATGAAGCTTTTAGGAAGCTACCATAGAAGATATTACAGAATTAATCTATTTTTATCTATTTTTATTTAATCATATAGATAATTATTGGTTCATGTGTGTATGTCCATGACAGAAGCTTTCTAATACTTAATATATATTGGAGTTGACAATGAGAGGATCTTTAATCTTGACCACACATTTCTTAAAGTTCTAATTTATCTCTTAGTATTGATCTTATACTTATCTAGTTTAATCAAGTTTTTAATAGCTTTCTTGTTGAAACTCTTTTATTCAACTTCTTGTTTGGTCTTTCGTATGGTATATTTGTGACACTTCTCCAACTTGAATGTTGATCTTCCAACAAAGACTTTCCTTGCTAAATTGTTCAAGTACCTCAAAAGTTGGCTCATGTATAGATATTTAAGTTTAAATTGTTGTCACCAATTATTGCTTCAATTAAACTAGCAAATGTTGCAAGTTTGCAAAAACTCTCATAGATCCTAAATTTCAATTATTTGAGACTATGATCCACAAAAACTCTCACAACCTTCAATCTAACTCCTTGATTGACATTGCATATTTCACACACATTTAAAATAAGTATAGTAACAAATTGACAAATTTTCACTTGCAAATATGCTACAACACTCACAAAATCATCAGATTTGCGAACTTCGTTTTATTTCTTAAAATCCAAACCCACCAAATACACTTCTTTTTTTTAAAAGCTCTCAAAACCTCAATATACTTTCAAATCTCATAAAATCAACTTTCAAAAATCCTCTCACAAGTTTGCTCTTAAATCTTATTCTCTAAACAACTAAAAAATCCCAAAGTCACCATAGGTGGGCGGTTTTGTACCTCAGGATCAGATTTTGACCTTGATTCACAATTGGTCCTCTTAGGATATCAATTCTTCATATTTTGAGGTAATTTTAGATAAAACCTATTCTTAATCTTCTCTTAAATATGACTATATCAATTACTTATCTCATTTACTTTGTATGGGCATAAATGAGCCAAATCAAAGTGAATGAGATAAGTAATTGATATAGTCATATTTAAGAGAAGATTAAGAATAGGTTTTATCTAAAATTAGCAATTATTAATTAAAATTGAAATCTCTTCTAAAAGTAATAAGTGCTAATGTTAGCACTTATTAATTATTATTTTTTACATAAAGCAAAAGATTGAAGTGGCTCCATCTATGCTGGAATTGGAATAACAATTCTTGATATTGTTATCAAATCACTCAGGCTGTGGCGGCCTCTTAGGGCCATTTCTCACCCTTTCCATCAGTCAGGGGTGTTCGACCGCAGCGGTGAACAACGACAGCACTTATTGTTGGTAAATGGATGTGAGATCCGGATCCCTGTCTGTGGATTAGATGTTTGCGTATTCTCCACTGCCCAGTTTGTCGTCTTTCTTCCACCGCAAGCCGTGTGTTTGAGGGATCTGTCAATTAAGCCTCACCACTGAGTCTTCACGGTCGCGGTCTTCTGTCGGGTGGAAATCCCTGGCACCTAGGTACTTCGGGTTGAACCCAGCAATTTCTGTTTGCTTTTGCGCTGGTTAAGGATATCGATGGGAGATCTGTGCAGAACCTCTCAGAAATCCATGTCTAGATTTGTCAAGAGGGCTTAGTTGCGGTTTCAGGGTGAACATTGATTCCTGCCCACTGGAGTAGAACGGTGGCTATTGAAGATAATAGTCCACGTGGTGCGTGTGCAGACCGCAAATATGAGCATCGATGAGTCTCGGGTGACGCTGCGAGGCTTCAACACTGACGACCTTGCGGGGTTTTTAGGATGGGCCACGGACGACGAGGTCACTAAATGGCTGATGTGGGACTCGTACACATCGGAACAAGACGCCCTCAACTATCTCCAGCATGTCGCCATCCCGCATCCGTGGATCAAGGCTATCTGCGTGGACGGCAAGGCGGCGGGGTCCATACAGGTGGAGCGCGGGACAGGGTACAATGCCTGCAGGGGCGTGATGGGCTACTGTCTCGCGAGGAATTACTGGGGCAGGGGCGTGGCCACCATCGCCGTGAAGAAAATGCTGACCCTCGCGTTTCAAGGAATGGACATCGCGAGGGTGGAGGCTTTGGTCATTCAAGACAACATCGCCTCGCGGCGGGTTCTAGAAAAAGCAGGCTTCAAGCTCGAAGGCGCGATGCTTAAATACCTTCTCATCAAGGGTAAGAAGCTGACCGATTGCTTTTTACTCGCTACTTACGCACCCGACCATGCCGTAAATCCTCCTCCGTCTTGACCTCCTTCATCTAATCACCATGCTTCCAAGCACACAGTCCTGCAAGCACGCAATCCTGCAGTAGAAGTTGTTGGAGCGGCTTCGCATCCATTCTAGATTTAGATGCTGCAGCAGCCGAAATGAGCTAAACCAAGCATGACCAACGCTTCACTTGCATCAGTCGACAAATGTTGGAGGGCTTGGAAATCGATGCTTCGATGTGGAGTAGGTTTCGTCGTAGCTTCACCCTTCTTCACACACATTCCTCTCCGTCGCTGTTCCTGCTCATGCGAACTGCAATTTTAGGGTTTCTGTTGCAAATGTTCCTAAAGTGTGCATTTATTAACATTCAAAGAGGAATTGGGTTGTTTGAATTTGACGAAATCTTGTTTTAAAGTCTATGAATGCAATTGTTATGTGCCTAGAAAATAAGTAAAGATACATTTCTTTTGTAAAAATATTGGATGGTTTTTGATTACTTTTGAATCATTAAATTAACTGACTTTATAAACGCTTCTCTATTTATAAGGTAGACTTTTTATTAATAGTCTGCAATTTTAAAAATCTAACAAAAGAAATAGGGTAATCCATTTATTTCTAAAACCAAACAAGAATAGTGAATTAATGTGAATCACTGAATTCACTCACTTGAGAGTTTAGGACAAAAAATGCATTTATCATGCTTAAAATTATAAATTCTTATGAGTTAGTTGTAGAAAATTTTAGATTAAAAAAGTTAAAAAAAAAATTGAATGCCAATTCTAGAGATGCAAGCCCTTGTAGAATTTCTCTTAGGAATTTCTAGAATGAGTATCTTCTCCTAGTTTGGTTAAATTAAAGTTTTGATTTGGTTTAAGATACAAGTAGAGATTGCGCTCATTTATGTAATTCAATTGTACACACAGAGATCTATAATTAATTGGAGTTTGAGGAAATTATGACATGGAATTTAAGATTGAGTTATTTTATAGGATTAGGGTTATAAAGACCATTAGGTTCATCTAAAAATTTGGACACCAATGTGGTCAAAAATATTTACTAAAGTAGTTTTTTGGAGCATTTTGGCCAATCCAAAATCCTTAGGAAGGAGCTCCGTCCATGAGGGGTATTGTTGTCTTAGAGGATCTGTCTCTTTTTTCTTTTGTTACTCTCAAATCTAAAAGCTCCAAAATACATTAAAAAGATAAAATTAAAGATTAAAACATAGTTATAAGTTTAGAAAATATTTAATATTCTTTTCTTTTAAACTAGGTTATGTAATTTTTTTATATATATATAATTTTTATTTAGTATGTATAAATATTAGAAATATGCACACCGCATGTAGCAAAGGGAATCTGAGACGCCTCATTGCGTCATCAAATTTAACATCGAAAAGCACCAAGAGTTGTGATATGCTTCTCAAACAAAATATTGTGCTACACGCCTCAATCAATCGAGAAATGCAGGAAACTCTTTCCTCTTCCCTCAACAGAATGACTTCCGAAGCCCGTGTGAAGGGAGAGGGTTGTTGTGTGCAAAACCTGCGTTTCAGACTTCGTGAAGTATGATAGGGATTGATTCTGGCACGATCATCCTCTTTGAATGCATTGCCTCGTAGATCACCGCAAATCTTTCAGGAGTCGAAGTGTATTCTGTTGAAGAACAGGATATTATTCAACATTAGTGTGAATGTAGCTACATGAAAATACATCTGGGTTTCAGACCAAACTTCTCATTCTCTGTTTCTCTCTTGCTTTCTAATTTTACTCCAATCTCTCAAAACTAAGATGTCCTTAAATCTATAAATAGGAATAACTTAAAATAGTAATAAAATCACAATGCTGAAATGTATATATATACTTATATATTCTAAAAAGAAATGGTGAATTTTTAAGAATTTTAATATTTTTTTACATTATTATCATATGTTTCTGTATTTGATTGTATTTGTGTACACTAGAATTGCTTTGAGCATCAAATTGTTGTCTAAATGGCTCAATCATAATTTTTGATGTTCAATACAATTATTGTAGTATTGGAGTCTACTTAAATGACCAATTATATATCAAATACATTGATTAGTTGGGAAAAAAATGCATTGTTAAGAATAACATTAGATACTAGCAAGGTGGGTGTAATCTTAGGAGTCATTTATTTTGGTACATTTTAAAATATTATTAAAATAACCACTTTTAAGCATATTTTTACTTTAATTTTTTTTGTGGATGTGGTTGTTAATAAGATATTTCCACTTTATTGAGGCATTTGATATTGTTTGTTAAGACAATTGATATTGCTATTATGAGTTTCAACTTTGTTACAATATTTCTTCATTTGAAATTAGACTTGGAATATACTCTTGATCTAAGAAGAGCCTCCAGCTTGAAAAATAATTAAAATATCTAAACAAATACTAGACTATAATCTCTCATATTAGCCAACTTAAAGTATTTAGTCAATTGTCCACTAATCTTTTGGACATGCTTTAGGTAGAGCTCGGATATTATCTAGCTTGATGGCAAGATGATTTAATTGGACCTTTTCAATTTAGATTATCAAAAAAAGAATAAAATCATGGTTTCTTTCAAAAAAAAATTACACCAAAAATTCTAAATATAAATATTTTGTTTTTATTTTACTCTTGTTCTACTTTTTTATATCTAAAAAGAATTGTCTCTATATCTCTAAATATACAAATGTTAATTTTATATATTTTATTCTAATGAAAACAACCTTTTGTCAAATTAATTTTAGTTTTGTTATCATTATTATAATCATTTTTTTAATACTTGTAGTTAGGAAATCCGAATTGCCACAATTTCTGAATTAAGTATAGTTTAAATCGGTTCAAACACAAGGGAAAGAACTGTCGCATGAGTTAATTGTTAAGGTCACCATTAATTGAATATAATCATTTTATATTCAATAAGTTAATTCCCAATCACTGAATTATATAATATTAATTCTTCAGTACCATGTCTAATTTAATAACTTCAATTACAACATTCTCAATTTCTTATCAATTCTCTGTAATTCTAACTTCATTTGTATTTTCCAACTCAATGGTCATTCAATCATTTTCAAACTATCATCTCTCAATCTATAACACTATTTCATGTGCAATGTATAGAACCAATTCAGGTCCAATACAGCATTCACTGTAACACTGTGATCAACACACAATTCTCATAAACTTCTCTTTATAAACACAACGAAACATCAAAATACAAAAGGAAAGAAATAGAAAAAATAGAGGTAGCACCCAAGCATACCCCGGCTCTAAGACTCACAAGTCTGGCCCTAAGCTAATCAATCTTTCTCCTACTATACCCTTTTTCAGATTCCAACCGATTTTTTTTGTCAGTTAACTGTATCTTGGAACCTTTCAAATGACTATTGGTTTCCTGATTTCATCAATACCGGTTCTAATCTACTAAAGTCAAAATTTTAGCACTAACTAATTTACCCGTTCTATATAGCCCCACTCCTAACTGTGCCGCGTCTTCGCAAACATCCAATTCTAGAACCAATTCTCCTAATATTATTGGTTGTCAGCATTGGTTGGCTCCGATAATTCATCCAATAAGATCATTTCAACTGGTGCTTGCGCCTGAAAATTGGGTTCTTCGATTTCCTCTTCTTCTTCTTCTTCTGCCTTTTTCAATTGCTCAGTTAAGTCTTCATTGGCAAATCCCAACACTCGCACTTGCTCTTCCAACCTTGCAATATACTTCTGATGGTCATCAAGCTTGGTCTTCAATTCTGCAACTTCTTCAGAATTGGAAGTACTCACTGGTTGTCTTGTTAAATCCAATTCTGCTTCCAAATTTCCAATGCGATCCCGTATTGTAGCAACTTCTAACAATGTCTGTTGATGGTCTTTTTCCAATTTCGCACATTTCTCTAGGGATTCCTGCAATTGTGTCCTTGCTAGATCTCGTTCCTGCTTCGAAAGATCTTCTGCAGCTTGATGAAGCATTCTATCCATTCGCCAATCCTTGTCCATTTTGTTTAACCTAACCTCCAATTCTGTATACTTCGTCACTTTCTCAGCCAACTTCTCTTCCAATTCTGCAATTGTCTTCTGTTGAGTTACAACCAATTTCTTCTGATTCTCCAAATCTTTACTCAGCTCATCACTATCTTGTAATTCGTGCACCATTCTATGCAACCTGTTGAATTGGGGTAAGAGTGTCTCCACTTGATATAACAACATCTCTTTAGCACTTCCCCATTTATCACCAGAACTGTGTTGACCCTCGAATTGGGTAGATGTCTCTCCAGTCAACCGGTTTGGTAAAACCAAAGCTAAAGATGGTTCTGGTCTTTGATCCAATTTTTCCTTGCCCTTAGAACTGGTACCCACCGCGATTGATGGCTGATTGGTTTGCTCCTGCTGATTTTGCACTATCTGCTCAGGTGACTTGGCTCGCTCAGTCTCCTTCTGTCTTTCTTCAAGGGTGACTACCTTCCCTGACTTCTTCAACCTTGCCTTCTCTTGTTCTTGTAGAGGGAGTTTCAACTGATACTTCACTACCTCAGAGATGTAATTGGAACAAAGTAATGTAGTAACCTTCCCTAACGTCCTCTTGTATGATAACTCGTTATGCATACGTTGAGCTACAAACTCTGCCCAATTAAACTTCATACCATCCATTGAAGCTACTGCTGCGAACAACAAGTTCTTGGCAATATATGTTGTATGTCTATTTAACGCCATTCTCTTCTGAACAAATCGTAACCACTCTCCCACTTCTTGTTTAAGAACGTCCAGTACCTTCCAACCCTGGCCCTTCACAAACGCGTCGGCCTTCGAATGAAAATATAGCTCCGGATTGAACTCCACCGTCACCTCCGATCCTACGGCCAGTTCTCCAATTGGCAAATACAAAACTTTGTGTAGAATGGGTGCCTCCAATTCCACAATACGATTATGCACTACACTCGAACCATCTGATGGGTCATAATGTCGCACAAATTCTTCTACAATAGACGGATCTAATGGCGGTAAAACTCTTGAATATCGCAAGAAACCATAAACGTCCGCCTCCTTGAAATCTTTCTGGAATTTCCTCTACCACAGCAAGTCAATCTGGCAATTCTCCATATTTGTGAACGTTACCAGCTCCAATTCTGATAACTCATTCCTAAACCTCACATTCCTTGACCTATCATCCCTCTCTTTTGTTCGCTTAAGACGTCTCGCCATTGTGAAACCCTAATAACAAAACCTCTCACCCTAACACAAAAATACCTCTTTCGGTGTACTCAATTGCTCGGCTACAATTGCAAGAATAGAGGTACTGATTCAGAAGTGCCCCTCTCCTATCAGTTGCAATGGATTACATCAAAATTACGGCGTACTTAACAAGTCTCCCCTCCTCATCATTAAACATATCCGTCCTCGGGTTAAGAGGAAATAATAATGAATTTGGACTGATTAGACAATTACATTTGATATAACTTTAACCGATAA